TATATATATATTGTTGTTAATATTTTTATGAAAAAAATTTGAAAGTATGAAATCTGATTACATTACATCTAGAGGAATGAAATCAAAACATATTTCTATACAATTTGTAAAAAGATAAGAACAGATTTCCATACATTTTGCACAGAAATCCTTAAAAAGATTGAATCTGCGTTTACAATTTTTTGATTTTTTTTATTTCACTGGTTTTATGGTATTTTTTATTTAAAGATAAGAATGATTATTTTTTACTAAACTGATGTTATGAGATAAGACAAAAAAAGGTAAATTAAATACTTGATAAAATAATAAATGTTGTAATTAAGTTTGACTCCGATCTTATGAGATTGTTTTTACTAAAGTGATTTTATGAGATAAGAAAAATAAAAAATACGTAATTAAAATACTTGATAAAAATAAAAATTTATTAATTAAGTTTAATTTTTCTACCTACTATATTTAGTAAATAGAATATCTTTTAATATAAGTATAGATTGCCACAAGAATCATGATTATGACGGCGCAACAATGACCCCTAATTCTAAGGGATATAGGAAAATAAAAATGAATTAATTCCTATTACAATTAGGAAAAACATTAATTAATTCCTTTTATATAAACTGACGCACCCTGAACAAAAATATGAATTGTGTAGTGATCTAATTAGTAAGTTAAACTCGATCGGCAGTATAATAAATATATAACTATGTCGTCCCCGCCGCCGTGTTATAGGTGTTCCAAATCACTACTATTGCTGCTCTTCTCCCTAGTGATCTGCCTCTCCTCTCTCCCGCTGTCCCCGGCGGCGCCTTCGCCTTCGCCTTCGCCCTCCCCCGCCCCCTTTCCTTCCCTCCACCGCCACCACGTGCCCCACTTCACCTACTTTGGCAGGATGGCCCCACGTCGCTGGCACAAGCGCACCCTCGAGTACGCCTTTTCTCCCGACCACGGGATCAACTACCTGGACCCCGCAGAGGTGAGGGCCGTGTTCGCCCGCACGTTTGCCCGCTGGTCCGCGTACATCCCCGTGACCTTCACGGAGACGGAGGACTACGAACAAGCGGACGTGAAGATCGGGTGGTACAGCGGGGACCACGGGGACGGGGCCCCGTTCGACGGGGTGAGCAGTGTGCTGGCCCATACGTTCGCCCCCGAGGACGGGCGGCTCCACCTGGACGCGGACGAGAAATGGACTACTGACTTGCGCAAGGAGCCGCCGTCGGAGTATGTGGTGGACCTTGAGTCGGTGGCCACGCACGAGATCGGGCACTTGCTCGGCCTCGGCCACTCGTCGGATAAGGATGCCGTCATGTTCCCTTTCCTGGTGCAGGGGACGAGAAAGGTGGAGCTGGGGGAGGATGACGTGGTGGGGATCCAGACGTTGTACGGGGTGATCCCATTCCACTGACGGGCGGCTGTGGAGATGCTGGATATGGGTATAAGACCTCTGTTTATCGCATGTTAAAAGACCTGAAGCAGTTACTTCTTAACAGTGGCAAAGAGGCTTTTGCCATTGCATGGCTAATATACATGAGTATTTGAAAGAACAGAAAGATTATGGTATTACTGAATCAGCTATTCCTATGTTCAAATCTTGAGGATATTTGTGCAAATCTCATATGCTCTATACTACATTTTCTTTGTCATGAACCGGTGTATCATGTAATCTTCTGAGCCAAACTAAGATAGCACGTAAGAATAGCCCCAGTAATCCGGGAAAAAACGTAAGGGAGAGAATAGTATCCAGATTCCAGAATTAGATTAGTTAATTTCGCTGTCAACACAAGGCTGGTGAAAAATAAACTCATATTATACCATATACTATGCAATAAAACTTACCACTAATGATCGTGATGTGAGGTATAAATTGGGATGCAAACACTGCACAAATTACTTCTTTATATAAAAGATGATCCGTATGAAACAACTATGTGACTTCTTTGATTAACTTGATGATAGGCAACTCGACAAATTGTATTCCTGTTTTCTCTTGCAAATACTATATAGTGTATACATACCTTAGAGGAAACAATGATAAAGTAGCTTAGCAAACTAATGGGAGAACAGAAAACTAGACAACAAATTAACCCCATAAGAAGCGATCCGAGAAGCGGGGGAGCACTTGAAATAAGAAAATGAGAGCTTAGCTCAGAGTTGTTTGCTGAGTCGAAAGTAGGGCATTCGAAAGTGAAGCACAGAAATGCAAGGATCAACAGGAGTATCTTTTCCTACCAAGCTGAGGACTAACTCCTTTCTTTCTTTTCTTCTTTTTTTTTTTTCATATTTTTTCAAGAGTTTTTATTCCCACCGTTCATCACTTGCTTCATGTTCGAGACTCAAATCTAGGCAGATATGCTTAATTCAGGTAAAAAGCAACTTCTAGGTCAACAATAATCTTCCTGAGAGCAAAATTACTTGACAATTGAGAAAATGAAAAATATGAATTGCATACTCAATTCCATTAAATCGATGACCAGTTTTATCAAGATGCACCCCCGAATTTACAACCCGAAAACAACAGATAAAACCGAGCCACTTTTCAACAAGAAATTTCATTCCAGATTTCCATTAGTAGAATTTCCACAATTCACATATTCTCTTCAATCTCAATTTCCAATTCTAAGAACACTAAAAGCACTCATTCCCTTTTCAAGACATGAAAATTCTCCAGTGCAAAAGAAAACGCTTCATTCAGTAAACTAGCAACAACCTTACCTCAAAATTCCCTATTATCCACAGCCATCGAGTTGTTGTCTTCCTCCACCGGAAAATCCTCCATCACTTCCATCTCCTCATCGCCAATCTCCGGCAAAGCAATCACTGCTCGTATCCCGTGAACCACCAGCCACTCGCTTTCGTACAGCTCTGGGAAAGTGATTTCGACTCCATTCACCATCACTGTATCAATTTCATCCTTCGTAATCTCCAAGCTAAAACCACTCACGTTGTTGGACACCACAGTCCCGTTGGCCATCTCATCCATATCATTCCACATCGGCTTTCGCGCGTCTTGCTCAATCCCAGTTTACACGGAGCCAAATGCCTCATGAACAAAGAAGAGAGGCCTACAAAATCGCCGGAAAACTGGACCAATTCCTCGTCCATCGCTGCAAAAACTGTCCACGGTTTCACAGCGTCGTGTGAGTTCCCCAGAAATCCAATGAGCTGCAGTTCGAGAAAAGAGGAAAATAACGAGTAGCCTCTCGATTTCAGAACTCCGGACGCATCCCCAAATCTGGAGGATGATTCAAGCTTCAGGCATGATCTAGGGTTCGGGTTGGCCCGATCCACCTCCGCTAGGGTGAAATTCAGGTCGAAGAAATTGTCAATTGCATAGACGACGACAAATCCGTCGTCGAAAATGGGGGTATCAGAGACTCCGACGTTGTTGATTGATATTTTCTCGGGATGGCCGGAGGTCACGACGAGGTGGCTGGCGGGGGAGAGGGACGGGACTTTGGAGGCGAAGGGCAGGGAGTGGAGTGACGACGGGGGGAGAGAGAGGGGGGAGAAGTGAAGGAGGAGGTGGGCGAGAGACGGCTGACCGGAAGTGGAGAAGGCGGAGTCCGGCGGGGAGAAGATGGTGAGGGTGGTGATGGTGGCGGAGGGGAGGGGCAGGGCGGGGGCGATGAGCTGGAGGGTGAGTGACATGGCGGTGTACCCCGAGCTGGCCAGGGTCTCGGCGGCGTTGATGATGGACTGAGGCGCAGACGGCGGCGACTGTGGCTGGGAGACGGCGGAGAGGATGGAGAGAGAAAATATGAGGAGAGAGAGTGGAAGTTGCAGAGACGCCATAGGGAAGCTCTGTGCAGGTGCGTGCGAACTGTTTTCAGTAATGTGAGAAATTGGCGGGATAATAAAAGTTGCACGGGAAACGTGGACGACTATTATTGGATGTTTGTGTAAAGGTATTTGTTAGGTTGCATATTTCTAATAACTATATAAAATAAATCATTTCATCTCCATAATTTGTTTGTGCTAATTTCTATGAAGACATCAAACTAGTACTAATACCTATGTACAATATTGGTGTTGAATTAATGAATATACGTATAAAGTTATTTATGTCTAATATCAAACCTAACTCCAGAGCAAAAACAATATAAAAACAACATCACGAAGTATAAATTTTTGTCATGTCAGCATCCGAAGCGTGAGAATCTGCCACCTAGACTCAACACGTTTTGAATTAATATACAGGGAGGGATTTGGATTTCCGATTTCTATCACCAAATCTATTCTGTTTATTGAATTTGATATTTTTTCCCCCACCAAAATTTACTCAGTGGAGACACGATTAACGACGCCATTGAATGTTGGTCTTGTTGTTAAATGGAAATTAACAACTATTTGATAATCAGGGATTTATTGTAAATTCAAAATAGATTAACAAAGACTGTATGACAAGCTGTATGAAAAGTTGAATGAAACAGAATCTATCGAATATTATAGTGTATCTCTCCTGTCCGGCCGGAGAATCTCTTTTCTCCCTTTATATTCATTTACAACATTTATCTGAAATGTAATCATTACATGAGAATAGTCAACGGCGGCTAATTGCCATTCATCCTGGTAGTACGCCACTTGGCCAAGCGTAATGATGAGTTGTGTTGAGTTGGCACCGCCTTATGGTGTCGGTTTGGCAAGTCATAGATATCGGCTTGTGTAGTTATAACCGATATGTCATAACCGACATGTGGTAACCGACATGCCATAACCGACATGAGATATCGGTCAATTGACGAAGATGTCGGTTCTTGACGAATTTTTACCCGATATGTGATTGTCTTGAGACCCGTGGAGGCATCATCTACTTGTACGAATTTAATCATCCTCCTACTGAACATAATCATCTGATCAGCGTCGCTTAACTGGATTTACTGAAAACGATGTCAACAAGGTGACCCCCAGCATTAATGGTTGTCTTGAAAAAGACGGGCAGTGATGCTGAAAACCCTCCAAAAATCAATTAATCTTGAGCAAGTGAAACATGTCAATTTTGTAACTGTTCCTCCGATGTCTTTACACTTGGTTGAAATATTGCTGAGAGTTGAAACGTCGCAATTTATTAAGATTAATTGCAAAGTTTACTGACAGGGGCAACAGTCATTTTTAATAGGCCACGTAACCGTTGATGAGAGGCGCGATTCTCAAGGGTCATGTCGACTCGCGAATTAAGAACGTCTGATCCACGCGTCCATATTTCTTCCGTTTCCCAACGGTCGCTACTAAATTTAGGGTTTAGTATAAATAGGAAATCTTCTCTCGAGATTCACTTTATTCACTTTCTTCCTACAATCGACTTCCTTGTCTTCTTTGCAAATTAATCGTCTTTCAACCGTACTCAGAGCATCCCAGATCTGTGAGCTTCTTCTTGTGGTAAGAACAATTTCTTTACTTTTTCATCTACTTCGATTCTTTTTTCTTGACATCATGAGTGTGTCGTGGGCGTCTTCCGGTGACGACGAGTTGGATGTTATGATGATCAACATGGTCCACTCCGGGGAGATGGAATTATTGTCTAAATATAGTCGGTGGGATCTAGTATTCGTCGAACGCTTAAGAATTTGGTTAAACGATATTGAGGGGGACAAAATGGTAGAGGAACACGCTATTGATGATCCGAGATTCTGGAGGCGACCCATTAGAAGATGGCCGGACCCCGAACTTACATCCCATGGTGAACCGAGCATACTAACAGATGTCGATGTTGTCATGCTGCGGAGCGAAATCCGCGTTCTTACGTCGGTACACTTATTTGCACCATACCCAGGTGAAAGAATTACGTGTCCACCACCCGGATGCGTCGGTGTGTTTGCCGAGAGCTTAAGATCAGGGTTGCGATTCCCTTTGCCGCGTATAATCACTGAGTACTTGCGGGATTGGGAATTTCCGATATGCCAGATCGCTCCGAATTCATGGAAGCGGATCAACGGATTACTGGTGCTCTTTGCTGAAAAGAAGTGGGATCTTCCTTCGGCAAAGGATATGAGGAGTATGTTTACATTTCGGAAGAGTCCGGACAGACAAGTATCAGATCCGCTTCTCACTTTTTCTATTGTCGGCAAACCACAACCAAGGGTTAAAGTTGGCGAATTGATAATGGAAGTTCTCGACACATTGCACGGTTTTCAAGAGGAATGGTTATGGGTTGGTGGGGACTGGCAGTGCACCGACTTCGCTAATGATCTTCTTGCCGATGGGACGAGTATCCCAATGGCTATTAAATCTGGTTATTGTAAGTTGTTTATCGTTTTCTTCACTTCGATTATTAATACCTTGTCTTTTGTTTTCGCTAACAGGTGGACTTTTGTGACCTTGTAGCAAAGCCAACGGGAAAGAAAGAACCCAGATTTGAAGGTGCATTGTACGATCGGGTGGAAAAGCTATTTGAAGTTTCCCAAAACAAGCGACGATACCAACGACTTGTGAAGGATTCTCGATTAGAGCTTGTTGGCTTATCTCCCGGAGTACTGAACTTAGTGTTTCAACCGGGTACACTTCTTACTTGCTTCGTTTTATCCTTCACATTAATGAAGTCGGTATAACTTTAAATGTTTTATGACAGTCTATTATCCATTGCTGGGATAATTCGGTTTTGGAGATCCCGTAGAAGCAGAAGAACATCGAAGACGTAATCCGAACTTCGATTTGAAGAGCAAGGTCGGAAAAAATAAAAACTCTTCGACCAACCGAGATGGCTGGACGTATGAATCTTCTGAAAGCCTGGAAGAAGAATCCGAACCGACCCCAGGGAACAGTCGGTGAGCCTTCAACGACAAGAGTGGAGCCGACGCCGGCTATTGTGAGCGATCTAGTAGTTTCCGACATCACGCCCCTCGACGTCGCTCTGTTGCAACAGGTGATGATGCCGGTAGACAAGCCTACTCGACATCTCGCAAGAGGTGTCGGAAGAGCCTTGCTTAAATGTAGTCCAACAGCGCAAGAGATCCAGCGTGTCTCATGTGGCCGACAGGATGAAGAAGAAGCCAAACACTGGCGCCGGTAAAGATAAAGATGAGGAGCCTGAAATCATTCTGAGGGACTCCTTCCTCAAAGTGAATGAGAAGAAAGCAGCTGAGCTATAATTGCCAGAGAATGTGTTTGATCCCTGGTTCGCCATGTTCCAAACAGTTGTCGAGCCAAAAGTTACAATTAACCATCGGGTCCCAGCGAGGCGGTGAAGGCGGTGAAAGTTCCACTGATGTCATGGGATCCGAAGACCCATGCCGGGATTGCGTCTCTACCCGATGAACAGAAGTTTAGTTACGCCCGAGGGTGCTTAGGGAGAGCACTTGTCAGTTTCATTGCGGCCGAAGAAAGTTNNNNCCGAGTTCACGAGCTGGATGAGAAACAACACGAACTAAGTCTGAAGGAGGGTGCCATAGCGTCCTTAGAAGATGAGAAATCCCGCTACGAGGCATCACTGTCGGAGAAAGATGCCCAGTTGAAAGCGGCACAAACCGAGGTGGGCGCCCTTAAGACGGAAAGGGAGAATCTGTTGTTGGCCCATGACCTCATGTCGGTTTAGCTGGCCAAGGTTGAAGAAACAGCTAAGGAAAAAGATGAGCAGCTCATGAGGTTAAGGGCCGAGCTTCAAGCCGTCTGCAAGGACCGATCGGATAAGGATGCTGAGTTGATCCGATGTCGTGAGGCTCATGAGATCGCCATGGGTAAGCTCCGTCAAGAGATGACAGCCGCTGCTGAGCTCAAATTCCAGGAGGGCATTGATGTCGGCAAAAAAGCCATGGCTGAGTCCGACAAAGTATTAAGTGCAGATGCGGTGACGGAGTGGGACTTAGAGTTGAACGTCGCATTGACATTGCGTTGGGTCATCGACAGGGTGGAAAATGGTATCTATACCGTCGATGAGCTGCGCATCTTTCTTCTGGAGAAAATAGAGAAGCATAACCTCAATCCTGAAATCAAGAATGCTCACATTCCAGCTGATCAAGATGAATTGAACTTTGCTGACCGACTTCTCAAGCAGAAGGAAAGCTAGATGCTTTAATTGGATTTGACGCCCTTGTCAGAGGAGCGCAAAGCTAAGATTCGTCGGGCCTTCATTGACATGATCCTTGAGGTGGAGAAAATTAAAAAATCCGACATGGAAAACATATGTGTCGAGGCAGTTGCCGAGGCCTTTGTTGCTGAAACATTGGAAAATCTTTCCGATGAAGAGCTTATAGACGCCATTACAAACTTTGCTCTGCGAAAAGTGGCTGAAGATGATGCTAAAGCCAAAGGGTGGCTAATGGAAGTGCCTCACCCCGACGGTGACCAAATTGTTCACGAGGATGACGATGTTGTTATCGTAAAAAGCGACGTCGTTCAAGCCGTGATAAAAAAAGAAGATGAGGTGATGCAGCGTCTGGGCAAAAGATTGATAAACCATCTGGATGCAGCAGATAAAGGCAAGGTTGAAGCTGTAAACCCTCAATCTTCAAAATCTGGAAGGGCGTCGTCGTCGGGGACGAACAAAGATGAATGAAATTTGTTATCTGCTTTTCCTTTTTTTTTTCTTTTTGTCTTATGTAATGACAATTTCTTATTATGAATGAAATTTGATGTTTTGATTTCGTGTTTCATGAATGTAATGTCTTGACGTATTTATCGTAACAAGGCAAAACATGTCGGGGTAAAGATAAATAAGTGTTTGATAGATCATGCTTGTTAGTACTCCGAAATGATACTTGGCACTTACACTTTGCCTTGTTATGAGTTTGTTTAAATTTTTTGTGTCGGCATAATTTATAGTATATCCGACATCTGCAAACTCTTTATCGGAACAAGTT